ATTCTGCTGGAGAATTTTATTTGAAAGGATTTCAAGGAGATTATAGATTTATCAGAGCAGATAAATTTAATAATTACGGAAAACGTGTTTGTAGAATTTGCAAGAATTTAACTTATTGTGTAAATATACATGTTATTAGTGGAAGAAATTTTGGAAGACATCCTCTTTGTAGCACTTGTATACTTTATTTTGAAGAAATTTAATAAAATATATGTTCTATAACATAAATATTCAATTTAAATTTAACAGTTTCAGTTACTATTAACATATTAACTATTTCTATGATTTCAATATTCAAATTATAGATTAAAGACGAATTATCAAGAGTATGATTTTTAAATTTAGAATTATATATTTAATCAATTTTTCAAGATCAAATTTATGATCCATTATACGTTCTTTGAATCGAGTAGATTTCTCAAATCTGTTATAGAATTTTATGATCTCAGCATAGTCTAGTATCTTGATATCTTTATTGTTATCAAATTTCTGATACTGAGTGAATTTTATATTTGGCATTTTCTTTATGTATCAGATATTTTTATCAATCTTTTATAGCTTTCAAAATTGTGGCTTAGCTCTGAACGATTATATAAAGACCTAGTTTTCACCTCTGTTTAGTTTTAAAAAAACCAAACAGAAATTATATTCATCAAATTCTATATTCATTAAGGTAAGAGGAGGATTCCAACTAGTATATATGTCTGGTTTTCTAATTCCGCTTGTTATACTAATTCTTACTTTTCGCTAATTCGGCTACCTCATCGCACACGTTGTATCTGGCTGGTATTCATAATTGTGATTCATTTACTTGAATTATTTATGTTATAAATCCAGAATGCCAAAAACACATTCACCAATTTATTATATTGTTCTAATTGGTCGTACTCCAGGAATATATTATTCTCTGGAAGATTGTAAAGAACAAGTGAACAATTTTCCAAATTCTAGTTACAAAAAATTTTTTATATTAGAAAGTGCATATAAATATTATGAAAATTTTCAAAATAAGATGAAAGAAAAGGAAGATTTAATTAATTCTGAAAATAAAATTATTATATATACTGATGGAAGTTGTATTAATAATAATAAAGGTATTCATGCTGGAATTGGAATATATTATAAAGATAGAACAAAAAAGATCACTGAACCATTACCTGGAACTATACGAACTAATAATAGAGCAGAGTTATTTGCTGTAATTAGAGCTATTGAAACATGTGAAGATCAAGAAAAAATCTTAGAAATAAGAACCGATAGTAGATATGTTGTCAATGCTTGTGAATCATGGATTACAAAATGGAAAGAGAATAATTGGAAAACTATAAGAGGTGAAGATGTAAAAAATAGAGATTTATTTGAAAAATTCGATAAATTAATGAATAATAGAAAAGGAAAAATTTTTTTTACATTCGTTAAAGCTCATAATAGTATCATAGAAAATGAAATTGCAGATAGATTAGCAAGACGTGGAGCTACTATTAATATGTGGAATGAAAAAAAATTATCACCTTATAATAGCTATATGAAAAATACACTTCCAAAATATAAAAAAGAAAATCCTAGTTTAGAGCATAAGATAGCTTTTAAAAACGTAGCAGCAATGTGGAAAGATTCTTCTGAAAATCCTAAAAATATTTAATAATTTTATTTTTTTTATTTTATTCTATTTAATAATTTTATTTTTTAATAAATTTTATTATTTTTTTTTAATTATATTTTTATTATCTTTATTCACGTGAGGCTGGATGCCTACATGTATAATTTAATTATTATCTTTATTCACGTGAGGCGTGTAATTTATTCACGTGAGGCTGGATGCCTACACGTGTAATTTAATTATTATCTTTATTCACGTGAGGCTAGATGCCTACACGTGTAATTTAATTATTATTTTTATTCACGTGAGGCTGGATGCCTACACATGTAATTTAATTATTACATTTATTTAAAACGTATGCGATAGGAACGTGCAGAAGTAGCAAAGCCAAAAAAAAAGCTTACTGCAAGTATATTTTAATGAGAATGATCAAAATTTTGTTAATCACATGTTTCTAGATATCAGAATTGATAAGATCAAATTTAAAAATAATTATAGTTTTGATTTACGTAAATGTAATATTGAAATTTTAAATTATTTATTATCTAATATTTATATAAATATAAATAAATAACGATTTGATATTCAATTTTATATTTAAAAATGAAACTAAAAAAAATTTTATTTTTGTTTCTGTTTTTATTTATATTATTTACTGTTATTGAAGCTAAAAGAAAACCAAGATGTTCTATTTGTAAGAAATTAGGTGTTAATATGATAGGGTATAACAAACTTACACATATTTCACTCAAAAAACATAAAAGAGATAATAAATTTACTAAAAAAATTAAAAATAAATCTACTAAAAAAATCAAATGCAGTATTTGTAAAAAAAGAGGATATAATAAACGCACACACCCTAAACATATTTAAAATATTTAAAATAATGGCTGAAACAGGTGGTGAAATTTTAAGAAAAAATATATTAATACGTTAAAAGAAAATTCTGAATATTTACAGAGAAATATTGATTTCTTGAACACTAATAATGCATTAAAGAATGATAAGGAAGATTTAATAAAAAAAAATAAAGAATTAAAAGAACAAAATAAAACAGAAATAGATAAATTAAACAAAGAAATAGAAAAAATTAAAAAAACAAACGATGCTTTAAAAGTATTGTTACAGGAAATGCAGGATGAAAATAGTTACTATAAGAATTGTGATTTTATTGATAAGACATTTGATAATCATTTTGTTAAATC